GAAACATTTTTTTTCATGTTCCTGGTATCTTACCTTACTTGAAAATTTTCTCTGGGGCGCGAGTTCTGGCGCACCCTGTATGTAACAAGAAAAATCAGTGTAATTTAAAATAGATATTGTTGTAAATCTTATTGTGGTGCGGAAAAATCTCTAAAAACAAGTGTCATTTGTTCTTACAAAATTCACTGTTCATATTTCCGCTGCTGTAACTTCCAAAAAAAAATATTGATACAAAAAATGTGAGACATTTTGTCTTCTTTAACTTTTATCTGAACACTTTTGCCGTAGAATCAACCGTTGCGAAGTTATTTTGGAAAAATCTATTTTTCGTACCTTTCATCCAAGACGGCGGTCCTCCCCCAAGGTCGAAAACTTGGATTTTTTGCCAAGGCCTAGACCTTAACAACATATTAAAAAATTACTACTACCCCACCTTTTTTAGGGCAAAACTCCCTACTGACTGAACTAGATAGGAAATTTCATTCTCTACAACTTTGTTCCCTGCACTTTTTTTGTATCTTCAACCGTTCAAAAATATCGAAAACAGTATTAAAAATAAATTATAACAATTATCAGTTTGCGTTCCGCCCAATATTTTTGAGAAAGCTGCGAATACGGTTAAAGATACAAAAAAAGTGTAAGAAACAAAATTCTAGAGAATAAAATTTGCTATAAAAAAGTCGGCGCGACCATATTGGAGCACAGATTTTATTTTTTTTCTCATATTTCTGGTGAAAAATTTAGTTGTTTGTTTTTCACAGCTTATTAAGACTGTAAAGCTCAACATTTTTACATTTTTTTCCAAGTAATTACTAAACTGGTTGAATTTAAATTAATTTAAAACGATTTGAAACTGAGACGGTAAAACGCTTTTTTTTTGGGCCCAAAAAATCAAGCAATTTTGTATCTCGTTTAGTCTCCTAGTATGCAGTTCTCCGTAGTAAATGATTATTAAAAAAATAAATAAATAAAAATGGGGTTGTAGCAAGCCGATCAGGACAACGAGCAGCGGCGGAGGCTTGAAATCGCCGCCCAAAACGCCAACAATAAGACCAACGAGGATGTGGCCAAGCGGAATAAAATAAACCAGAAGAAACAACAGGTAAAAAGTTTGAGTTGCATTGAAAATAATGAATGTGATTTTGTTAGGAGGCTGTAATAAATGAGTTGAAACACAAAACGAGACTGGTGCAAGAGAAGAAATTGTTGCAACAAGACGAGGTCTACAATGGTGCTCTTGAGGATATACTTCTAGGGCTGAAAAGTGAGCCTTACCGGCGCGCCGATGCGGTGCGAAGGAGTCAAAGAAGGAGAATCGATAATAATCGTTTGTCTAAAACGATGGAAGAGCTTGAAGTTTGAGTCTTGAGTCTTGTAAATAATTCGTGTAAATGCTCTCTCATGATGATGATGAATGATATTATGGAAAATATTGTGATTGTATTTAATATTTTTGTACATAATTGCAATTTTATGAGTACTAGTAGTTGTAAGTATTTTTATATATTGTTGTACACATGAGGCACATTCCGGGTTGTCGTTTGTGCGTGTTTTAATGATTTGTGATTTTTGAAATGTTTTAATGCGAATTGTAATGTTTATTATTTATAGCCAAGCAATAAAGTTTATTACTGATTGATTAAAAAGCCTATAATTCGCCTTCGTAAATCAAGGAATTCAATTATCAAAAATTTTAATTCTTTGTTTTTATTCGTTTGGGATCCTAATATTAACCCCTGATACTTCGAAAAATCGCAAAATTTTTAATTTTAAGAATGTGGAATACCTCCTTGCGTTTATGTGATCCTAATGTTACTCCTGATTTATACTTTTAATAGTTTGCAAAATTTTTATCAAAAATTTCGTGTTAGGAATGGATTTCCATAAATATTACGCCTAATGTTCTAATAACTAAAATAATTGCGTTATGAGAAGGCAATTTGAGGACTCAACAAATTCCGTATTTTAATTTCATTTTTTTTTACATTTTCCTCCCCATGATTTTCACGAGCCGTTCAGTGTGTCTTTGTTGGGCGGAAGTAAAAATAAATGAAAATAATTTGCATTGAACGTTGACCTTAGATGTTTTTATGCACAAAAAAGGGACACATAACTTTGTGCAAAAAAATTATCAGGTGTTGACACGCGTTAGTTAAGTCAGTTTGAACCGCGCTTTCGGGTGAATTGTGTCGCTTATGTGCAGCTCCAGTTACTACCCTCGATAAACTGGCACCCCCACGCTGGGATATCCCAAAGGGTTCAAGCGTGCATTTCCAACAAAGGGCAAGTTTTGATGTACCTTAATGTAGAGATATATATTTTTTGTCTTAACGCTGTTTGTTTATGAATGAATGTAAATATCGTTTTAACCCATTAGCGCCCAGTGTCCTATTTTGGGGACACAGTTTTATGAATTTTTTTCAACCATTTTTGGGTTTTGAACAACTTACTCTTATCCCATTTAAAAATAGACATAATAAACCCTTGTTTTTTCGGGCAGTTTGTTGTAAACAAGCATTAGATGCACATTACAAATTCGTAAATATTGTGATTTTTTGATTTGCGTGCATTGTTTTTGTTATTTTAGTGAATAGTATGAGTATGTGTTGTTATTTTTTACAAAGTGCCTTTAAATTCCGGTGTCCTCAAAATAGGACGCTAGGCAATATTTCTTCAAATACTTTTTTTTGTGCTTTTTCAAAAAAAAAAGTCAAAACAAATCAAGACCTTTTGGATGTCGTAAGAGATTTTGACGATCAGGATGAAATAGCGACAGTTCCCTTAATTCTTGGCCCTTCTACATCTTTACCAACAGCATAAACTTTTTCTTTCAAAAAAAGAAAAAAGAAAAAGCCAGTAATAAAACTACTCCTAATTACAGTTGTGGGCCATCAGGAATTACATAGAACGAACAATTTAATGTTTTGACATTTCTAAAACTGACAACGTCCTAAAACAACAACACTTTGTGAGCACTGTACAGTAAAGATTTTGCTACAATTTTTTTTTCGATTGTGGCAAAGAGTCGACAGAGAACACAAGAAAACCATTGGGAACCAATCAGACTTGTTTGCAAGATGGTAAAAGCGGTTGAAAAACCAAAAAGTCATAACAAATTAATAAAAATATGTATTTTTATTGTAATATTGTAATACTTTAAAAAATAAATTAACATGATTTTACCGTTTTTATTTCGGTAACCCATTTGTGTTACTTTATACACTCATTCGCTCAGCGTCCTCTTTTGAGGACAGCCCTTTGTGACAAAACTGTTTTTTCTTTAGAACTACACAAAATACACTCCAAAAAAATAAAGTAACAAAAATTTTTCCTGAATTTTTTAGTGATTTTTGACAGGCTGTAACTCATCGAAAAATGGTCGTATCTAGATTAAACAAAAACTATTTTGAAACTTTAAGTTTCTAGTTTTAAGATCTTTTTTTCCGTGCCACAGTTATCAAGTAATCCTAAGTAATAGCACGAGAAAAAAAATTCTAAATTTTCTTTTTGTCCACGGACGTGGATTTAAAAATTTACAGGACTATGGGGGGTACATTAAGCTGTAAAAATACCTAAAAATATTAGTCTCCCCTCAATATTAGTGAATACGCGGTAGATTTACTGAAATAACTCAAAAAGTTACTTTTTTCTCTTTTCTTTAAATCAATGTTGAGGGTGAAAAAAATTTTTTTTCAAATAATCATAAAAGGATCTTGTAAGATATTTATTCCAGTTTTTGAAACTACCCTTATATTATCTGTGTTATCATTAGTTGAGATGAGATATTGATGATCAAAGGATCCATTTTCATTTAAAGTCAAATAGCTCAACGACAAATTAACGTAAAGACAATATTAAAAAAAAACATTTTAAAGGTGAATGAACAGGCTATCCGACCTATCCATTGACTTAATTAAAAAAAATCTCCATGTCAGTGAACCAAAAGCAAAAACACAAAAATTTGGATTTTTTTTCCTCGCGCTATTACTTAAGATTATGTGATAACCGTAGCACAGAAAAAATTTTGCTAAAAGATAGATCTCAAAACTAGAAACTTAAAGCTTCAAAATAGTTTTTTTTT